TTTTGTTTCAGTTTTTGTGAACTTCCTGAAATAACTCCACTGACGTACATTCTTCTAGTTCAGAAGTTAAAGTAATTTCTTGTTATTGTTGTGAATGTATGGACGAGAGATCTCATATATGTTTGTAAAGGCTTTGCCACCCCAATAGTAATGATTTGAACACAACAGTGAATTATACCAGCCACATCTCGCCGAGCTACGTTTTGGAAGATGTATAAGTAGAAAGAAATTCTTTCAATATGTCTGGCTCTCGAATCAGGTTTGGTGAATAAAATCAGTTTGATCTTATATAGGTTACCATAATTCATAGGAATCCTTCTTGTGTTGCATTAAGAATATAGAGACTTTTTCTGCTTATCAACTCAACATTCAGCAACCTACATCAGAAACTGTTGCAAATTATATCCTACATATCACGCGCGATGATTCATTTATTTGTTTATTTATTTAGGAGAAGAAGTATAATCAAAAACGGATCTATCCAGTTGATCATCCAACTGTTCCGATATACCTTATCTTATATACAGGGTGGAGATTTCAACTAGAATAACACTTAAGTTTTTATACGCCGATTCAAGTAGCAACAATGTATACAATGTTTTTCTCTCTATTATGTTCACACTTGAGATGATCCAATATTGAAACATCTTTTTGCAATCTCGAGAGGAACGTGAATCTTGACAGGAATATGAAAAATGTCTATGGGATGAGATATTTATTACTTTGTTCGGAATAGAGTTCACTGGCTTACTGAAAATATCATCACTAAGAGCGATTTTCACTTATTTTTTCAATGACCAGACAATATACCTCGCCTAAAAGGTTTTCATTTGAAGCGATAATGGCGCAGTTGATATGATGATGACATGTAAAAGTGTGTCGGAATCAAATTTGATAGCTTGACATTTGATGAGATAACAAATCCCAAATTATCTTATGTCCCTATTGAGAATATCCAAATTGAAATAAAAATGTGATTGCATTTATTTCCCCAAATATGAGATTAAGTATAATTTTTCATAAATTAATATTAACGCTTATATTTTTCAATAACCGTTATTCATGTTCGTACGTAGGTGAATCAATAGTTTATATATACAGGGTGTCCCTAGACCAGTGGGACAGTTAAATATCTTCTGCACCAATAGGAATTTTCAAAATATTATAATTCCACATCATATCGCATCATGAGTGCTATCTTCAGGAATGACTAGGCTCACAAAATCGAACATGAATTTTTTCAAATGGAACACCCTGTATTTCATTGCATTTTCATATTCTCCTTGAAGAGCTGAATTCAACGACCTAGCACACTTGGGGTATAGCGGGAATGATTTCCGAGATATAGGGTGTGGAAAATCGAGATTTTTCATTTTTGGGAATTTTTTGTGTCAAAACTATTCATTATTGGTCAAAATGGCTCACATGTCCATATCTTAACTTTTGATTTACTATTCACTCGTATTTAATTGAAACAAATACAGGGTGGTGTAGAAATCTCAGTTTCAGTCGGAATTCCACACCACCCTGTATTTGTTTCAATTAAATACGAGTGAATAGTATATCGAAAGTTAAGATATGGACATGTGAGCCATTTTGACCAATAATGAATAGTTTTGACACAAAAAATTCCCAAAAATGAAAAATCTCGATTTTCCACACCCTATATCTCGGAAATCATTCCCGCTAGACCCCAAGTGTGCTAGGTCGTTGAATTCAGCTATTCAAGGAGAATATGAAAATGCAATGAAATACAGGGTGTTCCATTTGAAAAAATTGATGTTCGATTTTGTGAGCCTTCCTTGCGCCCCTCGTATAAAATATAGTCATTCCCGAAGATAGCACTCATGATGCGATATGATGTGGAATTATAATATTTTGAAAATTCCTATTGGTGCAGAAGATATTTAACTGTCCCACTGGTCTAGGGACACCCTGTATATATATATGTTTCATTTTCCTTTCAATAAAAGGAACGAAATTTGGTCATACTATAGAAGAATTGCTCTCAGGGACTCTTGTGGACATGCTATATATTTGACAAGCCCAGTCAGGACATCCTTTCCTTGTTCACTTTGAGATATATAACTGTTCACCAAAATTTGTTCGTTTACAGAACGGCAAAGCTTTGAAATTCGTTGCCAAAGGAAGTATTTTTGTAAACTTATAATCTCCAAAGGTTAAAACACGATGTTTTCCGAACATTATAGGATTTTCTTTTTTTGTACCCCAGAAGATGAAAAAAAAATTAAGGATTTATTCATCGATCTTATCAAAGCACAACATTATGTAAAATGTATGTTGCTATTCTTCAACTCATACTCATATTAAAACTTTCCCAATAATATTCCTCTATGAATGAATCATAATTCCTTGGAGAGGTCTGATGATCAATTGGAATTTGGTTCTAACCCCAACAAGTTGTACCAAATAGTGAATGCTTCATTTTATGCCATTCAAACAATAAAATAACAAGACGTGATCTAAACTTACATCATCTTCGAACTTGCGTGACGCTACTGATCATTCGAAAACCGCACTACCAACCTTATGGGTGCACATATCTATCTCCACGAAGGATTTAGGCTCCCCAGCGCCAGGATTAAGGTGCTTACATTTAGAGCAGTTGATAGATTTTTGTTTAATTGAATATGTAACGCGCACGACCCTCCTACAGGCTTTGTTAAGGGGGCTCAACAAAGATTAGTGGACATTGAGCAACATGTGTTTGGATAAAAACAGATAGTTGAGCACATGGGGCCCAAATACTTTTTTCAATCCCCTGGACTGAAGATCGAATGATTTTCTTCGACAGGAATAGTTTTGTATGCATTAAGATACCATGAAAACTCTCACTATGCAGTTGTGGCACTAACTGGCGATAACTGCTATGGCAATAAAATCTTGAGATGATTGATGTTATCGATTAATTTTCATCACCCATGGAAATTGTTTATTTGGCAATGATATGAAAATTGGTTTCGTCGGATGATTTCAGCTCAAATATTAGTAATTTTTGTATGTATATGTATGTATATGTTGGATAGTTTTGAGACGGTAGATTTTCTTCGACTTCATATATGCTCCTAGGTAGACTGCCCTTGGTAGAGCTTTTTGCAGTTTGAGAGGATATGGATTGAGGTTTCGTCCTCTTTCTCACAGAATATGCACACTGCTTCCTCTATACTACCCGGAGATCATCCAGATGTAATTTCTATCGACAGTGTCCTGATAGGACTTCAGTTAGTATTTGAATCTTATTTTTGATTTGGTTGATGCATTCAGTAGGTTTATTCTGGTTGTGCATGGGTTTCCATCAGGAGTCTCTCATCTTGTGTAATACTTTGTCGATCCTGCCAGTATTTGGCTCACTCAAGATGAGTTTATCCATTCAAATCCCCAATCATTATTATTTCACTGATCCCACAGAAGAGTCCGGAGCCCATCAATGGTGTTTCGGTCCCTCTCTTTGTCTATATCTGTCATTTCATTCCCCACCATTCTGGTATGCCCTGGAACCCATGAAAAGGTGACCCTACTGGCTCTACCTATAGATCGTTCAGTTCTCCTAGGCATTCCCCGACTATCTTTGAGCTTATTACATGTGAGCTCAGTGCTTTGGAATCTGCTTGGCTATCAGACATGATGATTATCTCTTTTCTGTGGTATTTCTTCTTAAAGTCTAGCAATGGCAATATAGCAATATACTTTCGACTGAGATATACTTGGAAATCCGCCGAAGCTCTCTGATTATTTGGTTCTAGGCCCAAATACTCCAATCACAATTCCTCCTGACTTCCTTGAGCCGTCTGTGTACCATTTTGTACATTACTACTTACATTCATAAACAAGACACACAAAGTCATCTCCACAAATTTATCGACTGAATAATCAGTATCTTTACATGTTTCGGACTATCAATTGTTCATCATCAGCAGCATATTTTAATTGACAATTTTCTAAAAAGAAAGGTTTTTTATATAGTTACAAATGTTATGTAGACAATTGTCAATTAAAATATGCTGCTGGTGATGGACTATTGATAGTCCGAAACATGTACAGATACTGATTATTCAGTCAATAAATTTGTGGAGATGACTTTGTGTGTCTTGTTTATGAATCTATTCACTCCACTTTGAGATACCATGGACTTTTACCATAGATCATTACTATACTTAGTTGTGAAATAGTTTTATCTCGCCCCCGATCACTCTTTCAACTCAGGATTATGTTGAATTCTTCTACAAAACTTCTCCTGCTGTATTTCTGAGAGCATCAATTGTATTTCAGAATATTCACTTGTATTTCAGAAAGCATCAATTGTATCTATCATCAATAGTTAATTGTTTGTCCCTGAAATACAATTCACACTTTCTGAAAATGAATTGACGCTTTTCGAAATACAACTGGAAAAAGTGAAGTGATGATAATGATAATTACTATTATTGATCTTATCGAACTTGAAGATTGATTCTCAGTTGAACGGATATATTTTATTCAATAATCAAATATTCGAAGAACCAATGTTTTTATTCACTGTGATGTTACATAGAGGACGAAAATGATATACTATAGGCTCCACGAAGAATCACTAGTATAAAATTAGCATTCGAATGTCGAAATGTTCATTATTCATACTCATTCATTTATTATCAATTTTTATACAGTAGTTTCGATTCGTTTCAATATTCAAGCATGACTTGAGAAACACACTCGAAGTGGTAAAATAGAAATAGAATATTAAATGCTATGAATTCCACCATAAGTAGGTATATAGTTTTCAGACCCAAAGTAAAATAAAGTTTCATCGATGCCAGTTCCATTCGTGAAAAAAAAAAGAGATTGTTTTGACCATCAGAATTGCGATGAAGAAACATTTTGACATGTATTATCTGATATCACATTATTTTGCAAATAAACGGCAGATGCCGTTATTGACATTTTCAATACGATATCTCAGAAATCATCGAACCAATACTAATTCAGTTTTTCCTTTGCAGGCTATCATTTACGAAGGACAAGACAAAAATCCTGAAATGTGCAGAGTTCTACTGACCCACGAGATTATGTGCAGGTGTGTATTGTTGCGTCAAATATAATGAGAACTTTGTTTCGTTGAATTTGAGAAATAAAAATCATGAGGTTTTTTGATCCGATGATATCATGATTTTCTTTTGTAATTGTTTTTCCTCGTCTCTATATGAAATAAAAATATGAATACTATTTCAATTCACATGTAGTTAGATCAAATCAGATGATTTGCCCCAAAATGTCACTTCCTATCTGAGGGCCTAAAAGAAAAATTCACAAGCTTGTCAGTGACAATTTGTACTGAAAAAGGTTCGGAGAAGAGAAATTGAGGTATATAGAAAAATATTTTTACTTATCTTTGGACGTTTCGGGAACGAATCTGCTCCCGTTTTCAACATAAAAAATGGATTTTTTCATGCCATACTGCATAATTCCCAATAATCAGAGCCAATAGCAACGTGTGGTAGAGACTAGACGTCTACGCTACTAATGCTTGAAAATATTAACCTTGTAGGCTGACTTCAAGGAAGATAAAAGCTGGGGATCTTGCTGAAATCACAGCCTGGAGAACCAACAACATAGTTGAATTCTACGCCACCAAAGTAGTAGTAGTAGTAGGTGGGGAGACTGTAGCCAAGCAAGTAGGCCCTGATGGGCCCTCTTTGCTAACTCCTGCTCTCCACATATCTACGCTTCCTTCACCTAGATTTCCTTTACGAATCTCCTTGACCTTCTGATGGAGGTCAGTATGTCCGTCTACTCTGATATGATCAAGTCCTCCTGTTGGAGTTTGTCGACTCCAAAGATGTCAAATTCCAGCCTCCCGTACGCCTCGCACTCGGCGAGAAAATGGAGTGACATTTCTTTGTCTTTCCACATCTGCGACAAGTGGGGTTGTCCTTTCCTCCCATAAGTGAGGAGGCGGAGTACTCAGCGGTCTCTGCCAAGAAGCCAGTCCTTCCTCGATTTGCTCGGACCGACCACGAATTCCTTGGCCTGCCTGCAACCTGTGACATTCCTCCAGTTTTCTCCTAGTGCCTTGTCCGCCCATTGATCACGGGCTGACGTAGTTTAGCTCCTTGCTATTCCTAGTACAGGCTCTGGTCCCAGAAATGCCTCCGCGGATCCGGCCCTATCAAGTTCGCTTCGAAATTTCGTTTCCGGGCACCCCACTATGACCCGGCCATACCAGTTCAACTTCCTTCGATTCGACTAATATCTCAAGGGCATCTCCACATTCCTGTACCAATGCCGAGCTTGGTCTAGGATGACAGATAGCCTTGAGTGCTGCCTGACTATCTGAACAGATGTAGATCCTCTGCACTGGTCCCTCTTCCACCTATTGCCTCTCTGCTACGACCAGGATGGCGAACACCTCAGCTTCGAAAACTGTGAAATATTTTCTTAGAGCGTAACTTTCTCGTATGATTCTCCCTTCGAGATGGCACTGGGACGAAATAGCGCAGGACAAAATAGCGCAGGGACGAAATAGCGCAGAGACAAAATAGCGCGCGAAAATGGAGTGCAGGATCTATGATTAGGTTTGTTCGTTCGTTAGAGTAAAGACTCATTCTTCAAATACAAGGTGTTTCAAAATGAGTCTATACCCTAGCAAACAAACTAACCTAATCATAGGTCTACTTTAACAATCCAACGGCATACCTAGTATTAAGTTACTTCGTTTGTAAGGGTAGTCTCCTTTTGAAACATCTAGTATTTGAAGAAATAGTCTATGCCCTGACAAACGAATTAACGTAATCATAGATGATGCACTACGTTTTCGCGCTCAAATTTGTCTCTGCGCTATTTCGTCTCTGCGCTATTTTGTCTCTGCGCTATTTTGTCTCTGCGCTATTATGTCCCTGCTCTATTATGACCCTGCGCTATTATGTCCCTGCGCTATTTTGTCCGCGCTATTTCGTCCTGCGCTATTTTGCCCTGCGCTATTTCGTCCCAGTGCCTTCGAGATAGATCCCTACGCCCGAGGTCTGTCTGTCAGTCAGACGGAATCCGTCTGTGTAATATACTAAGCTTCCTAAGCGAAACCTCACTCTATTGCTTCTCCATTCTTCTACACCACCAAAACTCAACCCTGTATTTTCTCTAGAAAAGCGCTTAGTATGCCTGATGTTAAAATGTCTGGTTCGACCATTCTCACTATATCTACTTTCAGTATTTCCTTCAGCGATACTTTTTTGTAGAATAGTCATGTCCGATCCATCGCAGAAGCTGCTTCACAAACACTAGGATTTTCATTCCGTGCGAAAATCTATACCTCACACCTCAACAGCTTCTCATGATCTATGAAGCACAGAAACGGCCTCACCTATGGGGTTCAACACCCAAACATACGCTGAAGCTCTTAGAAATTGCATCCAAAGAAGAGCTTCATTCGCCTGGTGGGTGATACCACACTCACTAATCCTTTGGCATCATCAGAACACCGTAGAAAAGTTGGCGACCTTTCACTTCTTTATACCTTCATCCACGGGAAATGTTCTTCACAAATCTCTGCTATTTTTCCATCCTTACAATACCAGTCAGACAGACTTGACAAGCCCAGTCAGCATATCCTCTCATTGTCAACCTTGAAATAAGTCGAACAACACTTTAGCAAACCTCGTTTGTATAAAGATCGGCGCAAGCTTTGGATATATTTGCCAATGGAAGTATTCCGAAGAACTTAAAACCTCCAGAAGTAAAAAAAAAAATAATCCAATACCTTCCTCCTCTTCTTGTCTTCTACTCTATATCCTTGGCAGCGCCGAGTTAAGTGCGCATTAATGTCACAAAAATGTATTATGTTGACGTAAATAGTAAATAATAATTATTTATGCCCAAAATCCTCTATCATAGTTTCAAAAGATCATATTATATCCATGTCCGAAAACTAATGGGCAATATCTCATCATCAAGGCAATTGGCTCGAATCGTAATGTTTTGAAGTCAAATAACTGCTATACTTCTATGGGCAATCATACTTGAGGAGCACTCCGTATTATGTTAATAAACAAGTTTTCTTGCACGTTTCATAAAATCCAAATAATATAAATAATGAATATCTATTGACATTATTGTATGAAACGAAAATAAAATATATCGCTCCGAAGAAAATATCATTGAATCCAACTAGAGCAAGACTTTTGATGCTAACAAAACATCGCTGCCAATACTGAAAACTTTCCATTCCACCCCGAAACTTGACGTGGCTGACTCGATGATGTAGTCACGAGACTCCCTAAATATCTTTCTTCCCCCAATGGTCTTGTATAACGCCGAGGGGACGGCCCATCTCCCCAGGGAGTCTGTCTTTTCCTTATTCCCTCGTCTTGCCATAACAAACATCGCCAATCTCGGCATACTGCCGTTTGCCGTGCATTTTCATCTTTGTTAGATAGTTCACGGGAAATAAGTCATATCAAAGCGTGTTAGCTGTTTTCTTTTAGGTAAACAATCTTCTCTGCTGATTTAATATTCTTGACAAATTATGTTATCCAGGTAGTTGGCACTTTGGTATACGGCAGCGCGGAATGAAAATTTGCGGAACAGGCAATGAAACTCTTTTATCTATATTACACAGGATCACAGGACGGATAAGAATGTGACTATGCATGATTTGTATTTCCTGTTTTCCTCGAAGTAATGTTTCAAGCTGCCACTTGCTGGAGGAGATGGATGCAATGCCCTATAAACGTTTTTGTATCGAAAGAAAAACACTCAGTTTCGTCATAGATCTAAATACACAATAGATCTATGGTTTCGTTAAATCTCCATGTCACGTTTCATCTTTGATTTTCGAATTGGCATCAACGTGATATAGTTCTCACCTATGCCTGAAATATCTGAAAACTGAAAGTTGATATTCCAATTCTGTATACGTATGTACCTACACAGGAGCTTACCAGATTTTTGATATACAAGACATAATCTGAAGAAAATATCTCTAAACACATACATCGAAACCTCTAATACCCTATGCGCGGTGAGGCAGTTTCGTAGGAAATCGTTTTCCATTATCAATACCTGAAAAAAATCTCATTTGTACTATTTATGAAATTTTGTCAGCTCTATGCTCCTTGCCACAATTAAATAACTACAATGTATAGTTAAGAATCTCAATAGGAGAATAATATGGTGTTATAGCATTTGGAAAAATAATGAACTACTATAGTAGTATAGTAGTATACTGCTACTACTGAACCATATTACTTACTGACTACTCATTATTTATAATGATATATACAGCTTCACTATATTCAGAAATATTTCTTTCGTATAGTTTGGTATACACGAGCCGTCTTATAATAAAGTTGGTCCCCATCTACACAAAATATGAGATTTGTGGATTCAAGTTATGACCATGCAAACCATTTTCAATAAGTGATTTTTGGTGACATTTTGGGTATCTGGAAGTTTGTTGAACAATATTCATCTTTTCAAGAAGCTCAAATCTCTCGCCAATGGAAATCATATTGGACATACCTATATTGAATATCATGAAGAACCATTCCCGAGTTATGTAATTTACCTTTTTGATTGAGACTGTCAGGTTTCTTCTTGTTATAAAATAGTTGAACAGGAACGTCAAAACGGCAAGGCTCTGTCTTCAATAACAAACGACAAACCTGGCAGTCCCAATTTGAATTTTGACATTATTTCTGAGAAATATAATTATCGACAAAAACAATATCATACGGAGGAACATATTGATAAACCCACTCAAACCTATGTTGCGTATCAGTTTGACCAACTTCATGTAGAATTAACTAGTAGTTAATATTCTTTGTTTATATCAAGTTTGATTTTCAATGTTACAGTTGAACAGGATAGTATCATCATTAAACAATACTTCTTTATTACAGCCGGTGTTGTGACAAAAAAAGCTGTGGAAACCGAAACGAAACTCCCTCAGATCCTGTGATAATTGACAGGTGAGTAATATTCCATACTTTGCGGAATGTGTCAAATGGTCAAAATTTATTCATAACTCCATGCCTCTTGACGAATCTAGAATTCCTTGTATAGTATTCTCTTCGTTTCTGAGGAGGTGGCACAAAAATATGTTCATTGGATGAAAGACTTTACAGATACAATCCGAATGAAATATGCTATTTTTACTGCAACCGAAACAATCAACTCAAATAAATATGTGAAGTAACCACCAATGTCGTGCCATATGTATGCAATGCAACAAATAATCCGTTTGGTGAACATATTCTACCTGCATTAACAGAGTGACATATTTGTGTATGGACCAGATGCTCTAATGGCAAATACCGCGCCAGTGCCAGGTATGGGAACAATACGTGGAAAATGTTAGGTTATAGTGAGCATATCAAAAATAATAACAGCGATTATTTATTTCTCTCCATACCCCACTGTGTTTGACTTGATAATCAAATATAGGTAAACAATATCGTTGTTTGAGACAAGAAACTATTGCTGGCCGTGATTATTCAAAAACAAGTTATCCATCCCGGGAACGATGATCAAGCAAGTATGTGAATCTTGAAGGCTTTCCTGATCAAATCAAAAATACTCAACTATACCCTCGATTATATTCACTAGTGTGAATACTCAAAAGACCATACTAAGGTGTATTTATAGATCTCCAGCATGGGTATGAAATGCCAAATCTGTCGTAATAGGAAAAAAATCAGGTATGAGTTTCAACCCAAATAACCAAGCATAACAATGTTGTCTATTCTGGATGACCTCTAGTACATCCTTTTCAGTTCCTAGGAGCTAAAGTTCAACTTCAGCTCGTAGGAACTGAATGTGTTGCCTATAGCAACATACCTATTTTTGTGTCAGTAATAGAAACGTCAATTTAAGAGCTAATTTTGGTATTGAAATGGACGACTTTTGTGACGGTTGCAGAAAAAAAAACAGGAATTAGACTGTCGATATTGCAATGGTCCGCAAAACGAGCTTTCATCTACATACACTCTGCCTAAAAAACTCCCGAGAGACGAACTACCCGCGCCTCGCCACGCTGCCATCACACCCACTATTCGGGAAACAAAAAACGCGGCTTTCATCAAGGTCCATGGCAATCTTCCTGCTTCCATCCCGGACCCTGTATCGCTGATAGCGGGGGAATGGCAAGAAAATGGCGTCCCGGGGGGATTCGATGCAGACAAGAAGGGGGAGAGAGAAATAGAGGAAAGCGATCTTGTGGTGCTATGGCAAATAGTACGAGCTGATGTATACCGATGTTGGAGTTGGAGAGCATCAGCATTGCATGCCGACATGCGATGTCTCGCTCGGACATCCTGACATTGTTTGTTTCTTTTGCCAGTCAAGAAAAAGTGTAATTACTCTAATTGTGTATTTATCGAGACAGGCAATTTTTATCGAACTGACTGATATGGATTGGTAGATGAGCTGCTGAATAATGGGCACGTTTCAATGAAACAAATTATATAATTATTTCGAAGCACCAACCCTAACTAGTCCACAGTAGTGAACCAACTTGTCCTCAGAGCTACATACATTTTTTAAATAAGATAATATGATAAGATAAGATGAGATTCGACTTACGTATGCATTTTCTATTCCTGAAAGAGAAGGGCACGACCATTTTTATCGATATAAGAAATGCATTTTTTGGCTGATTACTTTTGCTGCAGAGATAACAGAGAATACATCACACAACTGAAGAATCAGATGATCTGGAGATTATCTTTGAATATTCGCATGTTGACTAGATGAAACAAGCATTTGAAGATGTATATGACAGACGATATTGGCATCAGGATTTCAGGTCGACAATGTAACTCATTTTTTTTTTCTTCTCTTCTTGTTTTTTTGAAAACTTCAGGAATTTCGCTGTTGTTAGGGCCACAGAATAATTCGGGTTTAAAAAAAATCCCAACCATCATGAGGCGTACTAGGATATTAGTATACAAAAAGTGATTATTAGGGACCAGGTCAAAATATCGTCTCCTGTGAATGTGATAAATACTGTTGTCATTGATCATATTGCATCTCTTATACTAATTACTAATTTCAAATCTGACAGCGTCGAAATATGTGGTCTTACTTTTCATTTATTTATGCGGAAGTCAGAATTCAGATAACGATGACTTTCGGTTCGGTTTATGATATCATCGAAGCTGGCGTTTTTCGAAGGTGCCGAATTACTTTATTGAATAAAATGAACTAGCGATGAATTTGAATAACGAATGATTGCATCAAATACTACACAATATACCTACATGATACACAAAATGACCAATATAAAATAGGTATGTGGCGTAAATTCGACTAGTGTATAAAACACCATTGAATATACACAAATTTTATCAACAATTTTTCCAATGTATTTCATTAGATATGTGTATTGTACAAGACAAGTCACTCTTTCATTTATTACATGTGAGTGCATTCACCATTTGCTGGATTGGGTCGGTGCGTATAACCGCTTATTGTTGGCGCCTCTAAAATCATCTTCGTATCACTTATCAACCGACCAAAAAGCAAATATATTTAGATCCATGCAAAAACGCAATGTTAAGTCATACTTGGTCATATACTGGGTAACAAACGAATCCCAATAACTTAGCCCTCTTCTAGAAATCAGTAATTTTTTGTATGATGGATGATGCAGAAGGAATATAAAGTATGCATATAGGTACAGGGTGTCTGGTAATATTGGTTACCAAGGAATCATATTATAGCTTGAGATTAACATGTCTATAACCTATATCAGGAAACCTTGACCTCAGTAGAAACCGCAAGGTTTTTGATATATTGGAAATTGTATATAGAGATAAATTGAACTCCTATATCACCGACCAACTGTTTGTATGTGTAGATAAGGGTGATGTGTACACTGCGACCCATTCAAAGAGGGTAGATCTCCTTCTTCGATTTCATATGATCCAAGACAGAGCGTTCTTTCGTTGCGGAGAGCTGCGCAGTTCGAGAGAATGTGGATGGAGGTTCTGTCCTCTTCCTCACAAAATATGTACTCTGTTTCCTCTACTACTCCAGTTAATATTCGAATCTTATTTTCACTCAGTTTGATGCATTCAGTAGTTCTCTTCTGGTTGTGGGTTCCCAAGAGTGTATTCGCTTGTCTGATACCTACTACTAATTTCACAGAAGGGTTCGAGTCCTATGAATGATGTTTCCGTGAGTCTATCTGCGAGTCTATCGGTTATTCCATTTCCCTCCAGACTGGTATGCCCCGGAATCCATATAGAAGAGTGACTTCATTTGCTTCATCTTGATTGTTCAGTTTTTCTATGCAGACCCAAACTATCTTAGAGCTGATTATATGTGAGCTCAGCGTTTTGATAGCTGCTTGGCTATCAGACATGATGATGATCTGTTTTCTGTGGTACTTCTTCTCAATGTTGAGCTCGAAACATTTTCCAAGGGCATATACTTCCACCTGAAAGATACTTGGGTATGTGCCCAAGCTCTCTGGATATTTGGTTCTAGGCCCAACTATCCCAATTCCAGTTCGTTCTGACTTCCTAGATCCGTCTGTGTACCTTTTGATGGCATTATTATACTCAGTTGTGAAATGGTGTTACACAGATAACGAAACATCAATTTATTTCTTTCCCTCGTATGTATAATAAACATGTTCCTGTTATTTCTATACATTGAACAAAAAATCATCTACGGCTCTATGTTTATGAATGAAGCTCTCGTCTTGTGCAGTTGCAACTGTAGATTAGGCAAATATTGGTGAAAAAAAAATTTTTTTAGTGCAGCTGTACTCATTAACTCACTTCAACACTGAAATTCAGTTATAAAACACCCTGATGTGTAATAATTTCCTCAGGCTCACTGATATCGATGGTTCCAGTTTTTTACTCAATCACTTTATATAGGTAAACCATACTTCCGCATTAACATACATAACTTTCAGTTCTACCTCTTGCCTTCTAAAAATACACAATCACCAATCTCAAAAAGACTTAATCTCTTACAAACCCTACGAACGTTAAGCTAGTAAATAACAAGCCCTTGTTTTACAAACAAAAGACACTCATTCTTCGACCTTATCTGCCCTTTTCTCTATCACGCACAAGACCGCGCTCTATCTCCGCGCCATTTTTCTCCGCTCGGAAAAGCCCTTCTCTTGCTTACGTTTTCCATTTTCGGGGTTGTTGTACGAGATAAAAACACAAATGAATACAAGGGACCTGGAATTGCAGGCCAGGTTTCTGGTATTTCAAAGAAAATTACTTGTCCGGCAATATTCCGGAAAGTAGGTACTCACTACCCAGACGATATAATTATTCTTTTAATCGATAGTTTGGAAAGTATAGGTGTATTTACGAAAACGTATACGGAAACATGTTTCTGGACTATAGAACGGAGAGAAAGACATCGTCGTCATTGTTATCTACAAATTAAACAAGGTAAATAATTCAAGGTATATATGCAGTTGATCATAATCATAGGAAAGAAGTATGGTCATAACCAATTCGACACTTGAATTACTGACATTCTCCTTCAAAAGTGATCACATGTTTTTTTGTCGCTTATGAGTAATACATTATGGGAAGCTGCACTGAAAGCAATTTTGGAGATGCATGAGTTGCCTGAAAAAAATTTCAATACAGCAGCAGCTGCTATACAACACAATAATCATTTCCTGAAAAATCAAACGCCAATATTGAATTTTTGAGTAATGAAAAGTGCGACCTCAGTCTCTGGAACAAGATATTGGAAGTCATCTCTCATACCTAGATGCACTTCAAAATAATTTGAATTCCAAATATAATATTAGCAATTATTGTTTGAATTTTGTAATAAATACAACGAGTAGATTGTTCCTAATTTTGTTGATTCTTTGAATAATTTTGAAAAAATTGATCTGTTGAAAGTTTCTATGGACTTATAGACTTCCAGGACTAGGTCCTGGAATAATATTTACGCGAAGAATCAATTTTTTTTTCGGACTTGA